GCACGCACACTCGCACACACACACACTCGCACACTCGCACACACGCACGCACACTCACACGCACGCACACTCGCACGCACACACACTCGCACACACACACACACTCACACGCACACACACACTCACACACACACTCACACACACTCACACGCACGCACGCCCTGCGGTGGTGAGGCCGTGTGGGTTTGGTATCCGCCGTTGAGATTGCGAGCGAGCGCCGTACGATTACCTCCGCAGCCACGGCCTCATCTGCCTATCCGTAATCGAGGTTTTTTTTTATTTTTGGGGGTTAGATCGCGTCAATACAAATGCGCCGTGAAACCCGCCACCAGGCGAATGGGAAGGTTTGTCACGTAAACAGAACGTGCCAATTGGTTACTCGGTCAGGACGCCGGTTGTGTGTTGGTCGCAACAAGCTACGTGGTGTTAAACTACATCGACCGAATTACCTGTTTTTATTTGACAAGCTAAGGGTCCATCTTCTTAGTTCTTTCGGTAAAGTCACGTAGAAGGGAAATAATAAGACATTTCGGCCACAAGGCAAGCGGCCGTCCTCAGGTGAAGAACAGGTCTGTCGGAAAGACAGCGTCTGAATGAGAACAGGTCTGTCGGAAAGACAGCGTCTGAATGAGACGCTGTCTTTCCGACAGACCTGTTCTTCACCTGAGGACGGCTGCTTGCGTTGTGGCCGAAACGTCGTGAGAATTTTATTTTATTATGTAGTATTTTTATTATTTTATTATTTCCCTTCTACGTGACTTTGCCGAAAGAACCAAGAAGATGAATCCCTGCAGTCACGAATGCTTTAAATCGAAAGGTAAGGGTCCTACGTAGCTAATTTTCAGGTGTGACCTGGCTATCAAAATTGATAGCTCAACGAAGTGGGCTTATCATAACCATCATCGTCATCATCACGTGGGAATTCATAGAGCAAAGACTCTGAACACGTGACGTTGATTCTAAATTATGGAGGGAAAAACCAGAGGACCCGGAGAAAAATTAATGCGAGCACCACAGGGGAGAGAGACACGCAAACGTCAAATATACAGCAGCAAGCGTCAGGGTCGGGTTGAACCCACGACCTCCTGTGTACCAGGCGAGGTAGTTAACATCTCCTAGCCACCGTGATGATGATGAAAGAGAGACACGCAAACTCCAAATATACAGCAGCAGGCGTCAGGGTCGGGATCGACCCCTCGACCTCCTGCACACCAGGCGAGGGAGTTAACATCTCCTAGCCACCGTGATGATGATGAGAGAGAGACACGCAAACTCCAAATATACAGCAGCAGGCGTGGGTGGGGGGGGTGAGACGCAAGAGACGAGTAACCGGTTCCCACTAAAGATCTCTGCGAGCCCTCGCGCAGAGCGAGCGCTCTCCTCCCGTGGAGGGGATTTGGCGAAGCCCTCGCGCCCCGACACCGTCCACGCGGCGTCGGGGCGCGTGCGGCACCAGCCGCGGGCTGCTCACGCTTCACGCTTCACGCCGCTGCCACCGCCGCGCCCCACACTTGTTCACCGAGGAGGGCCGCCGCACCGAGTCCTGCGGCTCGTTTTCAGGAGGGTCCCCCGTCACCGCCGCCGCTGCCACCACCACCACATTTAGTTTTTATTGAACTATAACCGGTTGTTGTTGTTGTTGTTGTGTTTAGTTTGTTGTCCTTACACCCCCGCGCCTCCGATTAGCGCGGTTGGCTGCGTACGGTGTGAAAGAAGTTCAACTTGCATACGCACACAGAGACCCACAGGCTCACGTAGATCCACAGACTCACACGGAGACCCACAGACTCACACAGACCCATAGACTCATACAGACACCCATTGACTCATAGAGACCTATGGACTCACACAGATGCCCATAGACTCACAGACACCCACAGATTCACACAGAGACCCACAGACTCACACAGACCCATAGACTCATACAGACACCCATTAACTCAGAGACCTATGGACTCACACAGATACCCACAGATTCACACAGAGACCCACAGACTCACACAGACCCATAGACTGACATATATTGAAAACGAATGTCTTTAGAACTGCTTGTTGTTGTGTTTAGTTTGCTGTCCTTCCACCCCCGCACCTCTGATTAGCACGATTGGCTACAAACGGTGCTGGTGAAGTTCAACACACTCACACACTCACACACGCACACGCACACACACGCACGCACGCACGCACGCACACACACACGCACACACTCACGCACACACACGCACACACACGCACACACACACGCACACATAGATTATGTGTGTGTGTGTGAGAGGGAACAGGAGCACACGGAGAAAGGCCGACCCCTCGCACTAACGAAGGGGGCAACGGGGTTTGGCGTCACGGTCGGGAACCATTGACTCCTCCTGCTGGCTGGTGGGGTGGTGGGTGGCTGGGTAGGTGGGTGACTTGGTGGGTGACCTGGTGGGTGACTTGGTGGGTGACCTGGTGGGTGACTTGGTGGGTGGGTGACTTGGTGGGTGGGTGAGTGACTTGGTGGGTGGGTGACTTGGTGGGTGGATGGGTGACTGGGTGGGTGGGTGGGTGGCTGGGTGGGTGATTTGGTGGGTGGGTGACTTGATGGGTGGGTGACTTGGTGGGTGGGTGACTTGGTGGTTGGGTGACTTGGTGATTGGGTGGCTGGGTGGGTAACGGGGTGGCTGATTGGCTGAGTGGCTGGGTGGCTGGGTGGGTGGCTGGGTGGGTGACTTGGTGGGTGGTTGGCTGGGTGACTGAGTGGCTGAGTGGGTAGCTGGCTGGCTGGCCGGGCAGGTTTGCCAAACTTGCCGCCATCGTTTCAATTGAGATCAAATCAAAACAGGCGGGACCCGCGGCACTCACAAGCCAAACGGTGCGAACCATTCACTCCCAACGCCGCCACCGCCGCGGCCACGGTTGGCTACGCACCGTCACAAGCAACAAAACGCACACACACGCGCAGCCGCACGCACGCAGTCGCTATCGGTGCTCCACCATCGGCGAGAGAGAACCCTTGAAGCGCCGCAGCTCGCCAAGAGGGGCGAGCGCGTCTATGCAAATGTTCGCTACGAGGAAGAGAGCTTCGGGTCGGGTCGGTTTCTACTTCCTCGTCGGTGCGCGACGCCGCGGTAGGCAAATCACCCCCCCCACCCCCTCACCCCCCCTGCCGCCGCCAACCTGCAGAGAAATATTCAGAGTGGGCGGTGGGAGAGCTTCCTCAACGCCGCCGGCCAGCGTTGCCGCGTGCCTGCCCCCCCCCCCCCCCCCCCACACGGCATGACCCCCCCCGCCCCTCCGGGAGGCCCACGGCACGCCCAGCAGCAGTTCGCGTGCATTGTCAAGGTCAAGGTTTTAGTCAATGGATTCTTTGAACAAAATGTATGCCGAATGTCTGCTGCTGCTGCTACGTCTTGTGGCAGCGCTTTTGAGAGCCTTGATGAAAAGCGGTACAAATAAATGTGACTACGATTGTGATTGTTATTCTTGGTTCTTTCGGTAAAGTCACGTAGAAGGGAAATAATAAAAATAAAACAACCGTGAGAATTAGATAGTTTTATTTTTATTATTTTATTATTTCCCTTCTACGTGACTTTACCGAAAGAACCAAGAATAGAAATCCCTGCAGTCGCGAAAGCTTTAAATCGAAATATAGTTATTGTTGTAATGGAGGCCTCGCACGGCCGCTTGCACGCGATCGCGAATTAAAAATTCGCTCGCCAATCTCGTCGGCGGTGTGGAGGGGGGGCTCTGAACGATCGTCGCGACGACTCCGGGTGTCAGCATCCTTGCAGCAGCAGCAGCAGCAGCATCAGCAGCAGCAGCAGCCGCCAGCAGCAGCAGCAGCAGCGGCAGCAGCAGCAGCAGCATCAGCAGCAGCAGCCATCAGCAGCAGCAGCAGCAGCAGCAGCAGCAGCCAGCAGCAGCAGCAGCAGCAGCCAGCAGCAGCAGCAGCAGCCAGCAGCAGCAGCCAGCAGCAGCAGCAGCAGCCAGCAGCAGCAGCCAGCAGCAGCAGCAGCAGCCAGCAGCAGCAGCAGCAGCAGCCAGCAGCAGTAGTAGCAGCAGCAGCAGCAGCTTGACGCGAAACCGGCGGCGCTTTCGGGTGCGCTTCTGCGGCCGTCTGGAACGTTCTCCCTTACGATCTTAGGAAGCCACCGGGTGCTAAGCTGCACTTTTTAATCACCACCACCATCGTCATCGAGGTTGACAAACGAATCTCTTTACAACTGCTTTGTTGTCCTTCCCCGCGCACCTCCGATCAGCGCGGCTGGCTATGGCTACGTACGGCGCGAAAGAAGTTCAAGGTGCACGTTGGCCCTGCGGCTACAACAACAACAACGACGACGACGCGCGCCATTGCAGGGGCTGGCTGCGCCTCTCTCTCGCCTCTCCCCGCTCCGTCCCATGCCCCATCGCTCACTCAGCATCACCGGGGGGGGGGGGGCGGGGGCTCCGTGATTCGGCGTCAGCGGCACGCTGTCACGGCACGACTCGGGACTGATAATGGGGCGTCCGGCGCGGTGGTGACGGATAAACATCGCCACTGGGGAGACAAAGGCGGCTGGGCGTGGTGCTGGCCACCCCTCCCCCCTCGTGTGCCACAGCGCCGGTAGCTTTCCAAGGCGCTGCTACTCGCTAACGGCACTTGCCCCGACAGTCTGTTGAGGCTATACGGGGGATCTTTGTGTTTGTGTCAGTCGTGGTGGTGGTTGTGGTGGGGGTCGTGGTGGTAGTTGTGGTGGTGGTGGTCGTGGTCTTGCGTGGTGGTCGTCGTTGTTGGTGGTGGTCGTGGTGCTGGTGGTCGTGGCGGTGGTGGCCGTGGTAGTGGTGGTGGCCGTGGTCGTGGTGGTGGTGGTCGTGGTGGTGGTGGTCGTGGTGGTGGTCGTGGTGGTGGTGGTGGTCGTGCGTGGTGGTGGTGGTCGTGGTGGTGGTCGTGGTGGTGGTCGTGGTGGTGGTCGTGGTGGTGGTGGTGGTCGTGGTGGTGGTGGCCGTGCGTGTCCGCGGCCGTGACGCCATCACCCTACCTTGGCCCGCTGCCGCTGGCTGCCGTCTCCGCCGCTGAGCCGCACCCAGCGCGAGCCGCCGAGCGGCGCGGCGCCGTCCAGCTCGAGGGCGACGCCGTAGCGCTGGCGCACGTGCAGGCGGTGGCGCGCCACCAGCGCCGCCGCCTCCTCCCGCACCACAAACTCACTCGGCATGACGCCCGGGCACCCTGCGCATCACCTGTTCCTGCGTGGCGGCACGGGCGGGGGCAGCAGTCAGAGGAGACATCGTTATCTTCTTGGTTCTCTCGGTAAAGTCACGTAGAAGGGAAATAATAAAATAATAAAAATAAAACACAATAAAATAATTCTCACGACGTTTCGGCCACAACGCAAGCAGCCGTCCTCAGGTGAAGAACAGGTCTGTCGGAAAGACAGCATCTTTCCGACAGACCTGTTCTTCAGTGTCTTTCCGACAGACCTGTTTTTCACCCGACAGACCTGTTCTTCACCTGAGGACGGCTGCTTGTGGCCGAAACGTCGTGAGAATTATTTTATTATGTTTTATTTTTATTATTTTATTATTATTTTATTTCCCTTCTACGTGACTTTACCGAAAAAACCAATAAGATGAATCCCTGCAGTCACGAAAGCTTTAAATCGAAAAGAGATCGTTATGATTATGATGATTTTAACACGTAGACTTTCGCGACCGATGTTATCCACAATAAAGGTTCTTTTTTTTCGCGAGTTCGATCGCGAAAGTCGTTGGACACACCACCGCCCGGCACAGGCAATCGGCAAGGCCCGGCACGTGAAACACGAGTGTGCCGATTCGTTACCGGTCCAGCGCGTATCGGTGTGTTTGGAGGGCGAATCCACCGCCGGTTACAATTCGCGTCACGTGACGTTTCTGGTCAATCGCCTGATGAAGCTGGGTGTCATCGCCGGCGAAACGCTCTTACGCAATCACTCACACTCTTACGCAATCACTCACACTCTTACGCAATCACTCACACTCTTACGCAATCACTCACACTCTTACGCAATCACTCACACTCTTACGCAATCACTCACACTCTTACGCAATCACTCACACTCTTACTCACAAAGATCAAAGACGAAGATCCCCCGAATAGCCTCTAATGGACTGGAGGGGCAAGTGCTGTTAGCGAGCACCTGTGAAGGCCGGAACGGTACGAGGGGGCGGGTGGCCAGCACCACGCCTGACCGCCTTTGTCTCCCCAGTGGCGATGTTTACACACCGCACCAGGTACTCATTTGAGGCTGAGTCGACCTAGGGGAGGCCCATGACCCGGTTCAGACGATCGTCACTGGCGGTGTTGGTGGCCGTGAGCGGGAATTGAACTTGGGTCGCCGGGTTCGTAGCGCAGCGTAGCGCTAACCACTGCACTGCCGCTCTACTCACACACATGCACACCCACACTCGCACACACCCACTCACACACCCACACTCGCACACACACTCACACTGTCACACACTCACACTGTCAAACACACTCGCACACACACTCACACTGTCACACACACTCGCACACACACACTCACACTGTCACACACTCACACTGTCACACACACACTCACAATGCAGAACAAGGGGAGAACACACTCACACTGTCACACACTCACACTGTCACACACACTCGCACACACACACTCACACTGTCACACACACACTCACAATGCAGAACAAGGGGAGAACACACTCACACTGTCACACACTCACACTGTCACACACTCACACTGTCACACACACTCGCACGCACACACTCACACTGTCACACTCACACTGCAGAGCAAGGGGAGAACACACACACGTCACGCAGAAAGGTGCCGGAGTCGGGAATCAAACCAAGGCCCCAACTTTTGGTGCAAGGCGCGAGCGTGACCACCACCACCTCCACCACCTTCACCACCACCTTCACCACCACCACCGCCACCACCTCCACCACCACCTTCACCACCACCTTCACCACCACCTCCACCACCACCTCCACCACCACCTCCACCACCAGCACCACCATCACCTCCACACATCGGTGACAGACGGCGCCACTGACGTCGCAACAGATGAGCGAGCAGCACGCGTTGCTTGAATTGAGCGAGGCTGTTATTACGAGAGCGTTGGGGAAAGAGATGGTGGGAAGGAATTGCAAAGGGCAGCGAGCGGTGCGAGGGAAGACTGAGAAAGAGAAGTGAGGTGAGCTGCAGTGTGGCGAGTGGGTGAATGGATGAGCGAGTGTGTGAATGAGCGGGTGTGTGAATGAGCGCGTGAACGAGTGAGTGGGTGAGTCGGTGTGTGAATGAGAGAGTGTGAATGAGAGAGTGTGTGAATGAGAGAGTGTGTGAATGAGCGGGTGTGTGAATGAGCGGGTGTGTGAATGAGTGCGTGAACGAGTGAGTGGGTGAGTCGGTGTGTGAATGAGAGAGTGTGTGAATGAGAGAGTGTGTGAATGAGCGGGTGTGTGAATGAGTGCGTGAACGAGTGAGTGGGTGAGTCGGTGTGTGAATGAGAGAGTGTGTGAATGAGAGAGTGTGTGAATGAGCGGATGTGTGAATGAGTGGGTGTTTGAATGAGCGGGTGTGTGAATGAGCGGGTGTGTGAATTAGTGCGGGAACGAGTGAGTGGGTGAATGAGTCGGTGTGTGAGTGAGTCGGTGAGTGGATGAGTGTGTGAGTGAGTTTAAAGGTGAGTGTGTGTGGGTTGATGAGTGTGTTGTGGGGAGCGGTAGCGTCGCGGTTTGCGCGTTGCACTACGAACTCACAGGAGGTTCGATTCAGTCACCACCAGTGACGATTATCGGAAACGGTGCTGAGCTTTCCCTAGGTTAACTCAGCCACAAAACTGGTGTGGTGTGAGCGAGTGTGTGTGTATACGATTCCTGGAAGCAAGAGAGGTATGGCTGAGTGAGTGAGCGAGCGAGTGAGTGAGTGTGTGTGAGCGAGAGAGTGTGTGTGTGTGAGCGAGAGTGTGTGTGAGCGAGTGTGTGTGAGCGAGTGAGCGAGTGTATGCGAGCGAGATTGTGTGTGTGTGAGCGAGTGAGTGTGTGAGCGAGTGAGTGTGTGTGTGTGAGCGAGCGTGTGTGTGCGAGTGTGTGTGTGTGTGTGAACGAGCATGTGTGTGTGTGAGCGAGTGTGTGAGCGAGTGTGTGTGTGTGAGCGAGTGTGTGAGCGAGTGTGTGTGAGCGAGTGTGTGAGCGAGTGTGTGTGAGCGAGTGAGTGTGTGAGCGAGAGTGTGTGTGAGCGAGTGTGTGTGAGCGAGAGTGTGTGTGTGTGAGTGAGTGAGAGCGAGTGAGTGTGTGTGAGCGAGTGTGTGAGCGAGTGTGTGTGTGTACGATTCCTGGAAGCGAGAGAGGTATGGCTGACTGAGTGAGTGGGCGAGTGTCACAGTGTTTTTAAACTTTTCCACGAATCGGGGGAGTTTGGCCGTGTGGGCGCTGATCGTAACGATCGTTACGCGAGCGTGGCTTTGTGGGTTTTTTTTTTTCCCCGCGACGGCGTTGTACCTGGTGCCGATGTGCAAACATCTCCGCTCGGCAGACAAAGGTGACCCCGGCGTGGTGCTGGCCACCCGCCCTCGAATGCTGCTACTCGCTAACGCCGCTTGCCCCGACAGTCCGCTGCTAGAGGCTACACGGGGGACCTCTGTCCTTGTTGGTGACCTGCAGTGCGGCGGCGGCAGCGGTGGCGATTGTGGCGGATCAAACGAGACGGTCAAATGTCCCGGTATCGGACCCAAGCTGTCAACACGCGTGGAGGAGACGAATCGATGAGTTTCACAGGAAGAGTGGTGGTGGTGGTGATGGTGGTGGTAGCAGCGACAGAAGAGAGATCAGGAGGTGATCGACTCTTACCGGCGGACAGAGAGAGAGAGACAGCAAGCGTTGTGTGTCTCACGACGACTTCAGCGGCGTTACGCAAGGAGGGGGAAGGGGGCAGCAGGTTTCCAAAGCGATTATCGCCCACCCATTCAGCAGGAACAATTACAACAAGCGTCAAGCTTCTGTTCAGTGAGAGAGAGAGGGGGGGGGTAACAGCGGTGTGGAAGCTGCGTGTGTGTGTGGGGGGGTTGCACAAACGGAAATGAATGTCTGACAAGCATCGAAGCTGTGCACACAAACATGCTGCCTGCATTATCGGAGGCGGGTTATTTATATATATATTATATATAAATATTTATATTTATTTATATACTGCGAGACGAATCCAATGATCTCTACAGCTCGTTTTTTCACAGATGGTTCAGTCGGTGGCACGGGGTAAGGTCGGCACAACAACAAACAATACAAAGACACGACAGGAATGTGAAGTAGAAGGAAAGGTTAAACAACAACAACCACCATTCGCCACTCAGTGGCGATGATGTCACCACGGCGCTTGTGCCAGGCTAGGTGCACGTTGAGGCCACGTGAAGTGTCGAACGCCCGCTGGCAGGAGGTCACGGGGCAGACCCAAGTGCCACAGGTCGACTGACCGAGATGACCGAGATGACTGGCTGATGCACCACCTGTGCCCCCTACTGTGCCAACTTGCTGTGCTTTAGCCACCCGGCACTCCGCTCGTTGTTGTGAGCGTCGCTCCTACGCCCTCCGTTGTTGTTGTAGGGCGATTGCCTACAACTGCCCAGTAGCGTCCTTCACGAGCCTCCTCCACTGAGGCCGATCTTGACACCGCTGGTACCAGTCATCGGCAAGTCCACTCAGCTCCACGTCCTCCTGTACCACATCACTCCATCTCTTCTCTAGCTTGTGCCGCGCCTGTTTAGACCCCTCTATCCAGCCAAACAGAAGCTGTTTAGGCATGTGGTGGCTGGGCATGCGGGCTACATGACCCAGCCAACGCAGCCTTAGCTGAACAATTCACCCATAAACACGCAGAAATAAAACTAGACCACCCCCATCACACCAGGCAAAGCGCAACTGAGGTGTTCACTTATTATATCCGGGACGTGTGTTGCATCGTGGAAGATTTCCACCGTGCAGCAGCAGCAGCTTGACACGACTTGACTGCACTATACACTACAATACACTACACTATACACTACACTACACTATACTATGCTATACACTACAATACACTACGCTATACACTACACTATACACTACACTATACACTACACTATACACTACACTATACACTACACTATACACTACACTATACACTACACTATACACTACACTATACACTACACTACAATACACTATACACTACACTATACACTAGAAT